AATATTTTCTTCGGTGTAAGATTCGTTGCACTAGGAAGAACATTGTATTAGCTTGGGATTGCCTCGCAGAGCAAACCTAGTGGGAGACAACTCACCTGCAAGCATTTGTCACCCTTCAATTGGCGAATGGCTTCCTCGGCAAAGACATGTCCGCAAGGAACAAGATAGACAGTCTTCATGCCCGGACCAACAGGCTTTGCGGTGATAGGGCAGATCCAGCCCTCGCGGCGCTGGTGTCGGTGCGCATTGACGCGGTCCGAAGGGTGTTCGCTCAGCTCAGTGTCAACTTCGAAGTGAAGTTCGACGACGTCGCGGAGAGACTTGACTCGGCCGCATAGGACTTCTTCGCAGTCGGACTTGGAGCTAATCCCCTCACCATCGTCTCCGGGAAGCAGAAATTGAAGCACTGCGTCCTTGTTGTATAGATTTCCCACGCTGTCTGATACAATCGGTCGTGCAAGCGCCTTATGCGACAGTGGGCAAGTTGCCCAGAAATGTTCTTGCTGTTCGCGCTGGGTTTCTTTTAGTTGAGCGGTCGTCGGAGCGCGGGCCGCTTCACGAACGAGTTCGCGGCGGGTGGGGATACTGTGATATTGACATGTCAGTCTCTTTGCAAAAGCAGATTCTCGATGTATATCCAGAAAACTCAAACTCACCTTCCACCGTCGTTACCCATTGTTATGGCTGCCGAGTCTAGATCGTTGCGTAGGTCATCTTTGCCACCACCGGTTTGATACTCTGTAAAGTGATAGCGCTGCTTACTAAGCACATGTCAGGGCGATTAGACCTTATCACCAGCTGGCCCGAAGCTCTCTCCGCAATCCTTCCCAAGCTCAATGCCTCAATCATGAGACTCCCTCAGTCGCTTTTCCTGCTGGCTGTGGCCGGGTCTACTGCCCGGGCAAGCAATGATAAAATTCCACGCCCTCGAGGCGTTGCCCCGGAGTGTAAGTACCCAAACCCTGATCTGTTTATCCCCACCCCGAAAGTGTCCACACCCGGCGGATCATCAATGGGGCTGTAAATAAAGGCATCTGGTCATATATCGCCTCATATTGTCATCCCTTATGCTAATTCATATGTACCCGCAGTCGCCAAGTTCTACCAGGACCAAGAGACCTTTACCTGCATTTCGAATCCCTCGGTTAAGATTCCATTCTCCGCCGTGAATGATGACTTCTGCGATTGTCCGGACGGCAGTGATGAGCCTGGCACATCTGCCTGCTCACACCTCTCGCGTAACTCGCCATTGACGGTGGCAGAACGTCCGGGAAATAGCGAGGAAGAGCTCGTTGTCTCATTGCCCGGATTCTACTGCAAGAATAAGGGCCACCGACCCTCCTTCGTGCCATTCCAGCGTGTCAATGATGGAATCTGTGACTACGAGCTGTGCTGTGATGGTAGTGATGAATGGGCCCGACCTGGAGGCACCAAGTGCGAGGATCGCTGCAAGGAGATTGGTAAGAAGTGGCGGAAGGAGGAGGAGCAGCGACAGAAGTCCATGACTGCCGCGTTGAAGAAGAAGAAGGAGCTTCTTGTGGATGCTGGACGACAGGTCCAGGAGATTCAAGACCATGTTATTCGACTGGAGGCTGAGATTAAGGGCTCTGAGGTCAAGGTTGAGGGCCTTGAGGCTGAGCTGAAGAAGGCCGAGGATGAGGAGCGCAAAGTTGTTAGGAGTTCTGGAAAGGGCAAGGGCAAGGTCAATGCCCTTGCTGGTGTTGCCAAGGGTCGAGTTGAAGAATTGCGTGATGCGCTCTCTGTTGTTCGTGGACAGAGAGATGAGGCTCGTTCCCGACTGAAGGAGCTTGAAGATATCCTCTCTAAATTTAAGGTTGAATATAACCCTAACTTCAACGACGAGGGTGTCAAGCGCGCTGTTCGCGGTTGGGAGGACTATGCTGCCCGTGAGCTTGGAAATGATGAGAATGCCGACGAGGAGCGAGATTTGGATGAAATTGCCAAGCCTGATGATGAAAATTCCGGTGTTGACTGGGCACACTGGGAGAATACGGAGGATGGCTGCAACGAATCTGATATACGTAAGTGGAGCTCCCGATACTTGCACCGACATCTACTAACAACGGCAACAGTATACAAGATTGCCGCCTGGCTTCCACCTACTCTGGTCAACTTCCTCGAAGATCAGTTCTTTTCTCTAAAGGCATTCCTCGAATCCAGTAATATCATCGCCAAGACCGAGGAAGGCTCGACCTCAGAATCCAAGGCTTTGACTGAGGCGCGCAATGCCCTCAAGTCCGAGGAAGATACTTTGAAAGATCTGAAGAACAAACTTCGCGACCAACACGCCGACCTTGAGAAGGACTACGGCACCGCTGGAATTTTCCGTGCCCTCAAGGGACAGTGTATTAAGCAAGACGCCGGCGAGTATACATATGAGCACTGCTTCTTGGAAGACACCAAACAACTCCAAAGGAAGGGTGGCTCGTCCATGTCCATGGGCAAGTTCGTTCGGATTGGCTACACGAGCGTCGAGGAGCTGAACGAGGCGGGAGATGTCATTTCCATTGAGAAAATCTCACTCGAGTACGACCGCGGCCAGTCCTGTTGGAACGGCCCTAGCCGCTCAACCAAGGTTGTCTTGGAATGTGGTGAACAGAACGAGATCCTCAAGACGGCTGAAGACGAGAAGTGTGTCTACTCGATGCTCGTCACAACTCCAGCCGTCTGCCCTGGTGGCGATGAGGGTGACAGCGCCCCTCGGTCGAAAGATGAGCTGTGAATACGTTTCGTAGCGTGACCTATTTTATTGCATATGTATCGATTGATTTGCCGCCTTGCTTCGAAATATTGAGGTGTGAGCATTAGATTTTGATTCGAATAAATACAAGCGTGTTACATTCACGTTTCCAACCAACGACACCACTGCGCCAGTAAATGCATAAATTTGAACAGCTCAACTTGACACTTAGCACCTGGGCACGCAGGGTTTCAAGTTACTTTCAAGGTGCCAAGCCTCTTCGTTCGTCAACTTGAACTTGAACATAACTTGAAGGTTCTTACTACTATTTCCGAGTCGCTTACGGTGAAACTTGAATATATAATTGGCAAATTGGACAAAATCCAAATATAATATTGCACGGCTCAAGGACCGAATAGCATAAACATACACTAAAAACAAAGCAACCCATCCCAAAGGCCCCAAAGATCAAAACCAGACCCCATCATGATCAAAGATAATATAGCACAGGAAAACACTGTCAACTAGTAGTTCCAAACTTGGTTTCTACTAACTAGTTCGACAGCAACGGGAGGCCGGGTCTGGTATGGGTTGTCGAGTTGGAGGAGGATGGCGGAGGGGACGGCGTGTGAGCTAGCTTAGTGCTGGTAGAATGATCAGACCTTCCTTCTATAACCAAGACAAGGGGAGAGGGAGAGCGGGGAGGGAGTGGATAATTTGCTTCAAGGAAAATGGATAACATACGGTGCAGCTAGAGCAGGAGCAAGAGTTGCAGTTGCCGGAGCAGCAGTTGCACGAGCAGGGAGACATGTTGGATGGATGGATTGGGATATGGAATGAAACCACGAAAGATTTGAGAAGGCTTTGTTTGGAAGATGTTCAGATATTTGTCTGGATGGAGAAAAAACAGGGACTGGCTGGGGGATGAAAGGCTAGCTTTATACTTGTTTTAGGATAGTGATGCCCGGGTGTTCTCGAGCCTCGCTTCTGCTATGCTCTGATGTACATACTACATACTGTACTACCGTACTCTCTCTCTTTCTCTCTATCACAGCTAGTAGCAAGCTAGGCTACGACAACTGCGGAGTAAGTTGGCTCCGATTCGATACCGGAAAGAAGAAAGGAAGACTGGGTACGGAGTCAAAAAAAAGGAAACAATATTTCCTAATTCTTCATTCGTTGCTGACTAGATTTCCTTCCCCAACCACGACCGAGGGTGATCTGTGAGGCAAACGCAAACCCCAGCGCATCGCGTGGTCGAGTCAAATGGTCTTTCAAAACGGAGTAGGTACGGAGTAGTGTAGTATGCTTCTATGTACCGTATGGCCTTCCTACTCCTCACGGTCTCCACTTTCTTTTTTCCACGCCCACTCACGCGCTACCCGCTTCGATGGAGCGGGTAAGTCTTAACGCTCTCGCCAATGACCGGGGTATGGTTTGGTTTCAGAGGCCGGTTTTCGCCAGTCCGAGGTGGGGAAGAAGTGGTATTGTATGATGGGTGGTGGTGGTGGCCGCTTTCTTGCTACTTGCTATCTCCGATATGTTTTCTTGTGGAGTGCCCTTTGTGGCTATTTCTGCAGATCGATGTGTTGGTGTTTGGCTCGGACCGGTTAGGTTCATGCGGATGACGAGGTGTGGTCCAAGTCGTTGTGGTAGGTTATGGCAGCAAGTTGCTGGGGGGTACGGAGTAGTGTTTCCCTTTTTCCTTTTTTGCTTCTCTCGTTTTCTGAGAACTCTGACGAATGAGGATTCTTTCTTTGTGTTCTGGGCGTTTTGTGTTGTTCTATGGGTCTGTTGTTTACAGACACTCGAGGTACTTGCTCGCCATGAACACTGTGACTATACTTCATGACGAAGTTGTCACGACTTCCTAGTACATACCACCTACTAGTACAACTTGAATTTGTCTTGATCCAGCCATATAATGACGCCAATATCGGGCAGGCATAATCCCTCCATTTCAGTTGTCTTACGATTATGGAGTTGCTCCGTGGTATACTAGGCGGTTTGAACTATGTGGAGCTGGGGCAAGAACACCACACCACTCTCCCCTCCAAGAGAAAGTGATTTTTAATTTCTCCTTCCATGATCAAAGTTTAGACCTCCATCGTACCACGATTATGACGGCCACATTTCGAAGATCCCATGTTAGATCGACCCTAGAAGGCGCAGGTCGCCTAGATCTCCACATCGTTTTCGGGACGGGCCTCACGTTACTTGATGCGTACAGTCACGGTCATATTCTTGGCGATGGCCGACAGGGGCAACGTGGTCCACCATACAGTGGGGTTGACCCAAGATGAATTTTCCGGCGCCAGGAGCGGCGCAGGGTCGGGATCTGGGCGTTGCAGCCTATGAGGAGGCTGGTGTTTGCGCGGATTGGGGACCTTGGAGGAGGGGTGCCCCGAGGGCTTATTGGCAGTTCTGTATTCTGAAGCTGCATATCCAAGCCCACTGTGGTGGAGTGGAATACTGCGGTCTCTCGTTGTTCCAGCAATGATGCTCTCTATGGGGTAAGAAAGCAAAGCGAGACGCTTTGGATATCGACTACATAGAGCTGCCGCCAGCTGGTCGAGCTATCAAAAGCGAATACTACATACAATCTCGGGCCAAAGGGATCGGCAGGAGCGGCACGGAGTAGAAGGCGTAGAACCTACTTGGAAATGGCCGTTCGTAAGCGGCATTGTACATGGTATCCTCTTTTAGAGGACGCGAAATCAGATAAATGGATTGCTTCACAATCTCTCTCACCGAGACTAGGACCTATAGCGGGCTACCCTCGCACGGGTCCAAGATCGGGCCCAATATACGTGCCTCTCCACACCAGCAGAGGCACAAACTTGCTGGAATCGAGTAGGGCCGAAGCGCCGAGCAACCAAAGTGGATCGTTTCGTCTCCTCCTGCAGACGAAGTTAAGGCTACTGAAGCATATCATACTTTTGGTCCCACGGACCCTCCCCGATATGCACGCGGTCTGATACCTATTGGGCCCAAGAGCAGTATTGCAAGGCACCCAAGCCAGTTTGAGATGACCCGCTATTATTTTCCTGGGTCAGTGTAGGCCAATGTCTGTTCTCTCTGCAAAGAATAATGGAATTCTGGGGGCCGTTATCGAGGCGAAAAGGACGCATCGGCAAACATCAGCCGCGGAAGCCGATAGAAATTGGATCTGGCTGCGCGGAAATACTGCCGCTTATGGTCGTTACCAGGAGAAGGGTGGTTGAGGTGGATCGAAATGTTTGAAAAGAATGGCCCAGGTGTAGACCTACCATAGGTAGGGTTTGAGGCGTCGAGCAGCCGAGGGTAGCAAGGGTAGCATGCTGATTCCGGGAGATTACGTCAAGCTGCTTCTGCTACTACTGTTGTTGCTGCATTACTGCAGCATGGTGTTGAGAACTAGATGGTGACTATTATCCGGTCCTGGAGTACATTAAATCGATATCGTAGCATATCTGCTGTCGAGGATACCTAATGATGCGCAGTTAAGCTCATCACCTACACCGAGTCTAAAACGACCCGAAGATTGGGTCGATGCCCACAAGGTACCTGATAGAAAGGAATACAAATGATTCAGTAACCCGCAGTCATAAAATTTCGACTACAACGATTGACTAGACATTTTTTTGAGGGTTGTTTTGCTCTGTTTTGCAGGAAAAGAAAACACAAAAGACGGTAGAACTCCGCATTGCCCGATCTCACATCACAACGCTACCAGTCTGGTAGATGAGATCTCTCGCTCATCGCCTATCTCCATTCGCATTTTGATTCGGCAATGAACAAGATCCGTTCAAGCAGTTACCCGTCACGGCATGGTGATCGAGTTGGAAATGTTTACTTCTAAAGAGTCGGAAAAAAGCGGGGGGGTTAGCCAGCGGGTCATCGTGTCACGTCATTTTTTAGACAATGATAAGGGGTCAGGAGTCAAAGACTTCACATACGGGGCACTGGCATGCGCCGGCAGGGCACTGGCAGGAAGCACCGCAGCTGCAGCCGTGGTCGGAACCTGGTGGTGGTCAGCGTCTGTCTCAATGACTTAAAGGAGGGGGGAACACGAGTGCAGGTAACCCCGCCATGACCCCGCCTTGCCACGGTCTCTCCGGCAAAAAGCAAAGATTGGAGGGGGGTGTAGCGGGAGATGCGGCATGTGGTATAGCGAAAGGGGTCATATAATGGATTTGAGAACTCACCCATTTTGAGATAGAGAGGTATTGGTGGTTTTGAAGAGTGGGAAACGTAGAGTTGAGCGTGAAGCAAGCGACAGCAGGGGAGGATGAGGTGGGGGGAAAATGGGAAAGACGGGCCGCCGCCAGCTTTTTATACTCGGACCGCCCGTGACTTCCCGGTACTACCTTACACTTACTGATGTACTCACGCCGCACTTGGAATGGTAGTTATTCTTAGGTTCAGTTACGAGTACAAGGAGAGCACGTTTCTGCACTCGCCCCGCCTGAGCACATTACCATCTTGTACTACTTGCGCACTCGAGCACTCGACCTGTGAATATCGGCAAGCTGAGTGAGCCGAGTGAGCATCGCCCCAAGGTCAACTTCGACGCGCCAATCATCTCCTCCAAGAAGGAAATCAGATTCTCCAAACAACAAAGCAAACAACAAAGCAACGCATACAGCACGCATGGCAACCTCGGTCACTTGTTTATGTGGGGGCGTCACCCAGTCGATCCAGCTGGATGCTGCCGCAGACCATTCCCTGCTCCAACTATGTCATTGCACTAATTGTCGCACCATCACTGGCCTCCTGGGTGCAGCGTATTATCTCATGCAGCATGAGCCTGCCACCTTGGATGGACTACAGATCTACTCCGAATCCCCTCATGTTAGCCGCTTCTTTTGTAGAACCTGTGGTGCTCACATCTTTGCCCGGTTGGGATCGAGTGACATATTTCTAGTTGCCGCGGGGGTCGTAGTAGCAAATGACACCCCTCCAGTGAAGAGTATCCAGCACTGGCAGACCGAGGATACTGGCGATGGGGGGCTGAGCACATTCCTTCCAGGTTGGCCCACAAGAGAGAGATGTGCTCTACAGGCCGGTTTCGAACAGCCTTCCGACGAAGTGGATGTCAAAACCAGCAGCACAAGTCAGAACACGCTGAATATTCCGCTGCATCAGGGCGAACTACATGCTCAGTGCCACTGCGGAGGCATCCAATTCTACATCACTCGGCCCGACGTATCTTCATCCCAGGCATGGTCACCCTGGTCTGACTTGCTCGTACCCTATCACTCCCAATCATCAGAAAACCCCAACGACGTCAAATGGTGGCTATGCGATGGAGATACCAAGTATCTGGCAGGGACCTGTGCCTGCAATACATGTCGACTCGGCAGTGGATTTCCCATCCAAGCTTGGGCATTTGTTCCCAGATCTAACCTCTTCAATGCTGACCGATCGCCACTATCCTTCGATCGTGGAAATATGCAGCGGTATGAGAGCTCCCCAGATGTATACCGAGAGTTCTGCAAACGTTGCGGAGCCAATGTCTTCTGGCACAACACTGGGCGACCAACGATAATTGATGTGAGTGTGGGTTTGTTGAGAGGGGGAGAAGCCAGAGTAGAGGGTTGGCTCGAATGGGCAACGGGGAGAGTTAGCTTCACCGAGCTGGCAGTGCAGAAGGATCTTGTTGGACTTTTAGAGAAAGGTCTGCAAGAATATCATGGGAGCCATAGTCAAACTGGCTAGACTAGATATTTAAATGATATATGTGTCTCAGAGCGATGTGTGAGGTGAGACTAATACACATTCTGCCACCCAACACCGCCTCCGCGATAAGACGCACATCTTTTTTTTTCTGCGGGCCTCCATTGAGCATCAGATCTGATTTCACAAGGTATTCTGTCCAGTTCGTCAAATCCCACGCCCACTCTCCCTTCTCAACGCCATGGCGCCCTTCGTCTTCCAGGGGAACGATGCGCCACGGGGACCATCCGGAAAAGGTCGAGACAACCGAGACCGTCGGTCGCGTCCAAGACGCGATTTCACATTTCGCTTCCCCCATACCTCCGAGCGACCTCTGCTGGCGCCGAAGCGAGAAACGACACCAGAGCTTCTGACAGCAGACGATGAGAAATTGGCACCAAAATTCGCGTCTCTTGACGCGTTGAGTGACAGCGAGGAAGCGGAGATGGACTTCTCGGACTCTTCAGACGATGAATCGCGACCTCGAAAACGACGTGCTGTCGCATCTGACGACAAGGATGGCGATTCAAAACCTAAGCCGGCCCCAGCGCCAACCCCAAAATGGTCCAACCCCGACCCATATACAGTCTTGCCGCCGCCCGATGAGACCACAGGCAAGAAGCTTGATGTCGTGAAATTGATTCGCAAAGCTCGGCTGGCAACCAGCAGTGCGCCAAAGCAGGAAGATGCGGTGGCCGAGAACCATGACTTCATCTCGTTGGGCAATATGGATGGACTAGGACAAGAGGAAGAGGAGGACAAAAGAGAAAGCCCTCCGGCGAATGCCCCCAGAGGCCCCAAAAGCATGGCGAACCAGAACCAGACCCAGCCGAGCCAAGATTCTGCAGTTTTGCAGCGCAAACGAACCCGTGATGATGAACCTAAGGGCTTCTCCACAAAGGTCGGAAAACCTATGTCAAGGTTCCACAGTGATGGCTCTGTGCTTTATGCTTGGAAGGCCCTGTCCCCACAATCTGCTACACCCTGGACTGATGGAATGAGTGCTTTGCATATGGGCACTCGTCTACATCAGGAGGTTCTTTCCTTTTATAATTGGATCAAGCCCCATGACTTTGAACACCTTGTGCGACAGGATCTCATCCAGCGGTTGGAGACGGTGTTCAAGGAGAGATACCCCGGCGTACAATTGCATGCTTTTGGTTCGTTTGCCTCGGGGCTATACCTCCCCATTGCTGATGTTGATTTGGTTCTCATGTCTCGAGATTTCACTCGCTCTGGGAAGAGAAACTTTGGCGAAAGACCTGGCCAGATCTATGCATTCAGTGCATTCATCAAGAACGCGGGCATCGCAGTTCCTGGGTCCATTGAAAGTATTGCGCACGCTCGTGTGCCCATTATAAAATTCGTGGACAAGGTTACCGGGCTGCGCGTTGACCTGTCTTTTGACAATGACAGTGGCGTTAAGGCGAACGAGACGTTCAGAATGTGGAGGGAGCAGTATCCAGCGATGCCAGTAATCGTTTCGGTCATCAAGCAGTTCTTGCTTATCCGAGGACTGAATGAGGTACCGACCGGAGGCCTCGGTGGTTTCTCTATCACCTGCCTGGTTGCGAGTCTGCTGCAGCATATGCCGCGGCGTGAGGAGTTGAATCTGGGCAAGATCCTGTTAAACTTCTTTGATTATTACGGCAATATCTTCCGTTATGAAGAAGTCGGTATTCGTATGAATCCGCCAATGTTCTTTAACAAGGTAAGTTGAACCCTAATGCGCGATCCATTTACAATACACCATCCTAACACCCCGCCGTAGCAATTTGGCAACCGGGATCGTCTCACGATTGAGGACCCAAACAACCCAGACAATGACATCTCGGGCGGAACCAAGGAGATTGCATTGGTGTTCCGGACCTTCTCCCAGGCCTTTACCATATTGTCTCGGCGTATGGTTGAGCTGGCGAACTCCGAAGACGCAAAGGGTAGTATTTTGGGCTCAATAATTGCCGCCAACTACGAAGAGTACATGATCCAACGATTCCAACTGCGTGAGGTGTACGAGTCCGCCAGTCGATTCGACATCTACCGCAATCCTCCTCCACCTCCGGTTTCATCGCCTCCGCAATATTCTCAACCGCCTCCGCCTCTGCCTCCTGGTCCACCGCCCACAATTCGCGCCGCATAAATGTCGCCCGCGATGTATTTATTGTACAGTCTTGATGGCTGCACGATATCGGTCAACTTCTTCTGCGTGTTTGATTAATTGTTAGAGATACCCTCCGTTACGCTCCGTGGAAATAGAAATACATCTACGATGATGTCGATGTCGGTCTTGACTTTCGTTGGTAGTTTGGCAGCATCATTTGTTGCATTTTCGGCGCTTTTCTTTTCTTTTCCCTTTTTGTTGTCTTTGGTTTCAAGTTATATTCTTACCCTACAAGCCGAAAGGATATTCTAACCCGAATGCGAATGCGAATGCGGAATGATGAAATCCTTGAATGGACTCACCCCTCCCACTGGCAGGTATACCAATTCGAGTTCGAGTTCGAAGTTCCCCGAAACGGTTATGATTTCAAGCGTTCTGTCCGACTTGTGTTGATGCACTGTACTGCACTGCACCGCGCTACATTTTGAGCAATGGCAGATCTTCTGTGACTGCTGATTCAACTCGCTCACTGTTTATGATTATTACAAAGGTATTTTTTATCTAGTCCAATGAATCCTTTTGGCCGACTGGTGATCTGAGATTACTTGCTTGTCTGACTGGTGTTTACACCCCTTCCGATCCTCCTTCTCATCAAGGACGAGCTATATGCTATTTCTTGGAGAGGATACGAGGTATGCCGTCCTTGGACTATGGGCACTCTGATTACGGACGGACCGCACTACTACCACCAGGCATCGTCGATACAGGAAACGAGATTGCTTTTGAGTATCAAACCAACTGGCCACACGGTAGGTATATTCGGGGAGATCCTCCTTCCGAAGAAGAGGAGTGTGCGCGTTTGGTCGAGTGGTTTCTCAAAAGAGGAACAGACGTCAATACGCAAGACCCCCTTGGTCGCACCATGCTACACCAAGCAACTTTTCAAAACTGCACAGAATCAGTCAAGCTCCTGCTCAAAAGAGGGGCCACCCCATGGCAAAAGATTCATTCGGTCAAATTCCCCTTCACATGGCTTGTAGTGATAAATTGAATGACTGCGAACAACCTGGAGATACTATTTTCAATATCCTTTTTGAAGCGGGCAGCGATCCTAATTCTAAGGACGAAAATGGCGATACCCCTCTGCATATGGCTGCACGGAGTTCATTTTCAGTTGGACTTCGTATCCTCAGACGAGATGGCCGGGCGGACTTTATGGCGAAAATTAACCGTGGCAATCTCCCCCTCTATGAAGGGATTGGTATGATAAATACTTCAAGTGACGAAAGCATGGTGGAGCTACGAAGAGCCTACACTGATTGCAACTTGGTGAACAGTGATGGTAAAACCATCTGGGATTTGATTCAGAAAAATCTTGACTTCGACGACATGGAGTATTTCACCGAAGCTTTCTCTCGTGTGCTGCTTGAAGATGAAGAGTCCGAGAGCGAGTCTGGATTTTGAGTTGCTTCTTCGGGTGACGGGTCAGGGGAGGACAACTCAGACAGTAAGGACTCTTCACACGCTAGTGAATATGGCAAGGCAACCATGGATTATGAGACTCTTCCTAAGTTCAATCATAGTAGTAGCATTGATTAAAGGCTCCGCCATGAATTGACAGCGGGAATACTCCCAGTTACAGTCATTCTCGACATCGGCTTGACTAACGTTGCTTCAAGTTAGCGTCGACCATTTATTGAACTGTGCGCATTAAACCGAGGGGTTCGGTAAAATGCGCCGTTTATATCATAGTAGGACGAAGCCCATGGAATCCCATAGAATTTAAAGGTTTTCGGATGGATCTTTGCAAATTATGTGGATAGTGGCTTGACCCTATGCCACCGAAAATTTGCATGACAGATGTAGGCTTGGCGAAGGTGCTTGGTGCTGCCGGCCAGCCGGTGTCCAAAAGTTTTTCTTAACCGACCATAAACACCATCTTCACTATGATTTAACTGAGACCCCCTTTTCAGAGAGAAACATGCTCTCTACGTTGCCAGCAGAGCTGCTGTTCTCAATAACAAGCTATCTTGATAGCCACACGGATATTCTGCGGCTTGCCTCCTGTTGTCGTGCCTTATATCCAATTTTGCTACCTAAAGTCTTTACATCGCTCGAACTGATAGAACACCGCAACGGCCACTTGAGTCATCTGGTGCACACACTCGCATCCAATCCGGCATTAGCGCACGAAGTGCGCACTATCCGCATAGCCCTCAGCTGGCGACCGACTTCCGGCGTGCGATATGAACAGGAGGTTATCCTACCAGTTCTGAAATCAACCCTGGGGCCCAACGAAAACCTATCCACATGGGGCTTGCAACTACAGAGTCGAGAGAATAATGATGTATGGGCTGTTCTGCTTTTGGCGCTTATGCCTAATCTGGAGGATCTGGTCCTACAGGTTGATGAATTTTCAAACTACAGTCTCGAGTGGATGGCCAGGGTCGCCGCAAAGGAAACCTCTGGTTTGTCTAAATTAAGACACTTTACACTCGATTGTTCGGATGTAGATGGTGGTCTCAGCTCATCGCATTTTCTCCCAATACTTCGACTTCCCTCGTTACGAAGCTTTTGTGGCCATTTGATATGTGATTCTGGTACCTCTGATGAGGATTATGTTGAAGATGAAGACTTCCATGCGGCCAGCTACGTGCCTGACAATGTTGGGTACTCCGATATCACTCATATCCACCTCAGGTCCAGTTGTTCTCGAAGAGGCTTTGCGGATTTGATCGGCGCACCCAAGAGCCTCGAATCTTTCATCTTTGAGCATTCCGATAACCCTAATAGCTCGGATGATGAGGGGATTTACGCGTCGAGATACTACCCACCATTGCAAAGACATCAGGACACCTTGCAAACATTAACACTGACCGACGAGTGCACCAACGAGTATGCCGCTTACCCTAGTTACGACTATGAATATGTCGGATCGTTCGCAGGATTCAGCGCGCTGAAGGAACTTCGGCTGCAGATATCTCATATAATAGACTGGAACCAGGGCTGGAGTGACCGGGGCAAGATATCAAGCAAAAGATTCAGTGATGTTTTGCCTCCATCGCTGGAAAGCCTTATCCTTGATGATCTAGAGTCAGAGCATACAACTGAACTAGCTAAGGCATTTAAAGACCTGCTCCTAGGAGGGAAGTACCGCTACCCAAACCTGACTTATTTAGAGGTCAAAGGAAACTGGATGCATGTCCATCAGTCAACTGAGGAGTCTAACGCTAAACCTCGTCCTATACCTGCTATGACAGAGGTGTTTGCGGACTTCAAGATGGAACTCGAGTTATTATGTTCGGCTACGGGAGTTGAGTTTCGTCTACGTGATTTGCATGTTGAGGATATCATCAAGCAGAATTATTTGTATGGCTTTTAGAGTGATGCTTTTAGAGTGATGCCCTGTGACTGGGTAGTTGGTCACTATAGCAAGTTGCAAATAGGCATGCATAATAAGATCTGATTTTAAGGGCAAGTATCTTATCGGCGACAATCTCATTCCGGGATCCCGTTTCCTCATATTACACTTTACAGTGCTATCCAAAGGTTATCTTAGAGCGGCCCTCAACTGACCGCTGCCCACCCAATGAATGATGTACGTTAAGGTGTTGGCAGTAGGTTCAGAAACGAGTGATCGAGTGTACATAATTCAAGCCTATTTCGAGAATGACTGAAGTACTAGTAGTATCTAGTATGAATATGGACACTAAGAACATTCGAAGACAACTCCCGGAAATAGCCACAGTTTCTGGAAACTGAATATTAGTACCGCGCATCATGGTCCATTATTTACTCAACCCTATTCACAGGTCCGCTACCTAATATAGAATATGAACACCTGGGAAAGGAAAGACGCTGAAAATGAAGATTTTCAAAGTACAAATATCTTACATTGTAGCGAGCCTTCTAGTTACAAGACTCCGCCCCTCTCACCCCGGAATCAAAACCCAGGTAGGAAAGGCGATGTGGGACGGGGCCATTGAAGAACAGCAAGACAATTGTTCGCAAATGAAATGAACGCGTGTCAGCACTAGTACTATTGACTTTAGTAGTTTGGGGCGACAAAAACAGAACCATTTCTGGCCCCGACATTTGGTGCAGATCATTTCTTGGTACGGAGTACATGAAGAAGAGTGCGAGCCTTCCTCGCCCCCAATAAATGTGGATCGTGATTGAAGGCTATGTAAGCGACAGAATTGAGCCAGGTGGCCCTGGAAGATAATATAAATAGACGAAAAGGGGTAGCCACCGGGTAAGATATTTGATTGTTCAAGTCCCGCGATTCCATCACTCTCTATCTCAATCTCCAGTTTCTGTTTTATACGGAGATTACCTAAATACCCATATACTCTTACCGAAAACGAACCCTTTCAAGTCATCATGAGATATCTCAGCCTCCTCCTCCTCGGCGCTATCATTGGCTTCGCCAATGCCGCAGCTATTCCAGAGCCGGAAGCTCTCTCGGTCGAGTTGGCCCCACGATGTGGAAATTGTACGTACTTTCATTCCTTCTTCCAGTGCCACGGGTCCAAGTCAGAAATACTAACAGGAATATCGATATAGCTGGACAAGCCTGTACGACTAATGGCACTCGGGATATTTGTTGTGACGGTTATTGTTTTTACCAAAACAATGATGTTAACCAGCCGTTGCTGTGTACCTAAGGAGTCTCTTTCGTTGAGCCGGGGCATTACAGGTGGTAACTGACGGTTTATTAACTGTCATGTTCCATAATTGAAATGAGTTGATCATAAAGGAGAGCTATGTTTTATTGTAACTTACAAGATCCCGAGGTCCTGTCAATGAATGTCTTCTTCCAATCCACTACTCCCAAGGTGCGACCACTAAATCGGAAGGGAAAGCCAACTTGAAGGAAATCCATTATTAGTATCACGGTATTTTATAGCTCGGTCCGAGGTTAAATCTGTTGTTTAATTTCATAGTACGGTCTATCATGATCCTATCAAACGATTGCTTCGCTGTGTTCCTCTCGTGAATCAAAGGGCCATTCATCAAAGGATTTGGCTCGTGTGTCCGAAGAAGTTCAACCATAATTTGTCTTTTACCGACATTGCCAAAGCACCCTGAGGATAAAGGTTGGCGTAGCTCGTCAAAGTATTCCCTCACCTCGTTCCAAATAACCTATTTCTTTGATGTTGCGAGTTGCGGCCACGCCGAAAGGAGGGTTTGACCAACGCAGTTTGATACGCGTTTCGTTCCCCCTCCACGATACGACCTCGATATGATCATTCCATGTCTGAACTCCTATAGAGTTTCAAAGACCACTGATGCACAGGAGAGGATTCACCAGTAGGTAGCATGAGGGACCTTGGTCGAGCGCAAAGCCGCAACAGCTCTGCCGCCATCCCCACTGGCAGGTGGATGATCATCTTTCTGAATTCAACCACCTGGGCATAATAGTATTTATTGTCGTGTCTGCCGTGAATTGACGGCGGGAATATCACTAGTTCGTACTAGTAGTATCTCGTATGAATATGAACAACTCTATATACAACCCAAATTTCGCAATAAGAACATTCGAAGACAACTTGGGAATAGCCACATTTTCTGGACACTGGATATTAGCACCGCGCATCATCGTCCATTATTCACTCAAGCCGTCTCTCCACATCCAACGGCGGGGTCAACATTCCTTCATCCAGAGTAGAATCGTCAATGGCAGGAGAATCGATGGGCTCCCCTTCGACCTCAAGGCTTCTAACGAGAGCGAGATGCTCCTCAGACAACGAATTCTTGAAGTCCGCATCAGGGCTTGCCCACACATAATCCACCCACTCCTCCCCAATAACATCACGAATCTCCGCAGCCAGCTGCAAAATATTTGTGCGGCGCGTACGAGACCAAGCCCGATCAGTAATCAATCCCTCCGACGGCGTCAAAATATTCGAAGTCGTCGGAGTCGAAGTACCCTTTCCTTCAAACTCCCCATCCTCACAATTCTCAAGCCCCTCAACAATACTATTCCAAACCCTCAACGTCTCATCCAACTCAGCAACATTACTAACCCCCATAACACTAACCCCCAACCTCCTCCCAGCACCAACACTCTTAACAGAAATGAAACCCGGATCCGAATCAACACCCTTCGCCATCGGCGGCCCCAAACCACCAGCCCCAGCCCCATCCCTAAGCCAAGACTCAAGCGCAAACCGAATAGCAACAACTTCCAACTTCTCCCCGCGCCCATCAACAACACCCGCCGCATCACGAACAACACCCCGCAACCCATCAGGCGCAGGATGAAAATCCCCCCATAGACCCAATCGGCACTCCATCCCTACGCAAAAGTCCCATCCCCAACGGCGAAGCATTAGGAACAACGTCCACGCCGGCCTTAATCAGTCTCAGGCAACGCCTGCGTCGCCAACCGCGTATTCTGCAACGTATAGTTCGCATAACTCATAACGATATCGAGGGGTTCACCCGTCTGAACGAGTACCATTTCCGCAAGTGTCGAGAGTACGTCGACCGGGTACCCGGAGATACCAACGTAGCGCAGGACACCCTCTTCATCGCGAAGCCGGCGCAATTCGCGCACCGCAGTTAAAACTTCTGCGGGGCTGACGAATTCCACGTCATGGCAGTAGACGACGTCTCAGATAATTTGTGTGGAGTCTTTTCAGACTGCGGCGGACGCTGGATCGGATCCAGGGTGGGGAGTAGTCGAATGAGGAGGAGGCGATTCGGCCTACTTTTGTGAGGAGGTGGTATGTGTTTCTTGGGTGGGAGGTGGTGATTGCGGGCGAGGAGAGGGCTTGGCCGAGGAGGTCTTCGGCGGGACCGTAGTAGGGGGATGTGTCGAAGGCGCGGATTCCGTGGGATAGGGCGCGGTGGACGAGTTCTGTTGTTGGGAGGGCGTAGGGGTCTGCGTTGTACTGGGAGTTGAAGGTTGCTGTGCCCATTATTAATGGGGGGGAGGGTTGATGAGAGGGGGGTGGAGGGGCGCATTGTGGTGGTAGTGGTGGTCATTGAGTTAGGGAGGGAGGAGAGAGGAGAGATATGAATTGAGAAGAAGGAAAATATATCCAGGGAAGATAGAAGATAGGGACAGGGGAAGAGTAGAGTAGAGTAGGATAGATTTGGATCGAATTATCCCGATGCGGAGAGAGTGGGACAGAAATGAAGATAATTGGAATTCCGCGATTTCCCCCACTCCACTCCGGATGGCGCCATGGCGGTTAGTGTTAGTTCCAGGCTGTTGCAAACCCTTTCCATTTTCAAGTTAGTTCAAGTTTCCGGGGCTGCTAGTGAAATCGGGGGGGATTCAAGAGCCGAAGTGCGAGTCGGAGGGAGTTGGGGAAGTTCCTCTACAATTGCCGTTTCCTCCGTGCGGCGGTGGCAAAAAAGTGGTACTTTTGTGCTTTTGTTACTTTGAAGACTTTATTACTTTAAATACTTTTTATGCAGGACAGTCAAGGGCATTAGAACATGTGCAGTTTACAGCTATAGTACATATGATTTTCCCAAGGCAGAGTGGAGAAGGGGGGAAGGGTGATATACACAGGGCCCCGAAGGCCGGAGAGATCAAATCATCGCGATGAGTCGATGTCAATCCCTCACTCTAAGACAGAAAAGAGAGAAATAAATGGAGAGGGCTTCTCCCTCACGGGAACCCCCAAAAACGCCATGCTATGCCAAATCAAAAGATGAGGGATCCGGAGTACTTTCGCGACAAGAGGCGACCGAAGTGGGCGGGTGGACGGTGGACGAGGATGCGCAGGTGAAAAACGGAACCCAAACCCATGTCGCAATAATTCAAGTAGGATAAAGATGCAACGAGAAGCGCAGGAAGTCACCAAGTGACCCTATGGCGGAGTCTCGGTACTGCTTCACCGGTCCTTGTAGACCTTGGGGTTCCAGCCTTCACTCAATTCCTTATCCTGCGCCGCCTTTCGCTGCGTTTGGCGGACTTCCATCTCTATCCGTTCGCGCGCACGTAGAATCTTGCTCTGAAGGTAGAAACTGCCACCCTTCTGAGGATCGTTCAGGTCGAACAGCTTCTTGAATCGCTCCGTGACATGTTCGGCACTGAGTTCGGCACCGCCACCGGGGGGCTTGACGTTGAGGATCTTATAGGACTCATCGAGGGTGATTCCGGAGCCACCGCTGAAGGCACTTCCTCCTTTCTTGCCGGCGTTATGTTTGCCGGTGGCCTGGGCCTGCTTGTAGGCTTCACCGAAGGCGCGGCCGAAGACCCGGGCTCCGGTGATGATGACTTGGGAGACAATGCGGTGCGCCTGGAGTGGGGAATAGAATTGTTAATAGCAATTCGAATGAAATGAAATGAGACGGAATAAGAAACTCATGAAATTCCTCTCTGGAAAAGTACTCACCATGACGTGGACGGGGAAGGGCGATGATCACAAGGAGGTGAAGAAGGAAGAAGGGGAAAATTTCGGCTGCGCGTTTTAGCGTCGGGAGACAGCAGAGTATACAGTAGAGTAGAGGTAGACACAACACAACACAACAGTACATGGTATTCAGTTAATTATCACCAGATGTGAACCTATATTTTAGTCTATTTAATTCTCATGATTATTATTATATTCTAGAATATAATATATACCATAGATATAATGTCTATTCTATACTCTGCTTCCACCACCGCTACTCCCACTCTCGGCCTCAACACAGTCACATGTCCCCCCCAACTCCCCCCCGCAGATCACTTTGGAGCCGACGAACCTCCCTCATGCCCTGCCCTGCCTCGCCTCGCTCTTAAAAGCATTTGATCGCCCGCTCCAGATGAGCTGACAACGACTCCCATGACGTCTCCGTAATTGGATGGCAGCTTTAGGTACCTTTCCCTCTCCCCTGCCTACCTGCCCTACCTGCCCTACCTCCCCTCTCCATCCAACCCATCTAATGCCAGCTAGAAGATCTTCCGTGGATCGATTCCATGGCACCCTCAACGCCCATGCAGGATGGCCAGTCTGATTCTTTACCTCCGACCATCGCCGCTTTCTCCCCTTCTACCATCTCCGGCTCAGCCCTAACCTCGCGGCAACGCTCCAGCGTCATCGTGCATCGCAAATCACCACTGTTGGTGGCTACGCCGCCATCCATCACCAGGGCCCTCGCCTACTCCCACCCATTCCTCTTACCACTGAATAAACTCGTCGGCCTATTATCATGGACAACAGGGGATCCATGGCAGAGCTTCCTATTGGTAGCCACCTTCTGGACAGTGGTGCTATACAGCGATGCCATCATCCTCTGGGCGGGCCCGATTCTCGTCGTCATCAGCCTGATCCTCGGCATGTATGGACGGCGCTATTCACCCCTCTCATCAACAACTTCCACAGGCGAAAAACACCCGGGGAAAACGTCGACAGATACCACGACTCGCCATCAAAAAAGCTTGGACGATATCGTTGAGACTCTGCGTACTTTCACAACGCGGTGTAATATCCTACTCGAACCTCTGCTCGATTTGACCGATTTCCTATCCACACAACGCACAGCAACATCCGCTACGACTCGTCCTGCGTTGACTGCTCTCTTCCTCCGTATCCTATTGGTGACGCCCATCTGGATCGCTTTAACTCTCCCTCCCTTTTACATAATTACCACCCGCCGCGTCGTGATGATCGTCGGCACTATAATTCTCACATACCACTCGCGCCCGGCCCGAGTATCCCGCGTCATTCTCTGGCGCTCCCGTGCTGTACGCCGTCTATGCGGCATGATCACCGGTCTTTCGGTGGCAGATGGGCCGAGCGCGACAAAGACACAAGCCCAGGGCCAGGGTCAGGGCCAGGGTCTGAATATTGCGACTCGCCGGCGTGGAGATGCTTCCGGGGTCCGATTTACTTTTGTTGTGTACGAGAACCAACGGCGCTGGCTTGGAATCGGGTGGACTTATTCCTTGTTCCCGGCTGAACGGGGTGCCTGGACTGATGAACACTTGAATTCTGTTCCGGCGAAGGACTCGTTTGAACTTCCTGATGTTCAGACTGGTGGTTCTAAGTGGCGCTGGGTGGAGGGAAGTGAGTGGCGCATCGAAGGTGCGGATAACTCTGCGAACGGCAAGGATTCCAAGGCGTCTAATGTTGAGGGATGGATCTACTATGATAATAAGGTATGCATCGAGTTTGGTTTATAAATCCCCCTCTCCAAACCTATCTCTAACGGTATGATCAGTGGAATGACGGACGCCGTGGCCAAGATGGCTGGGACCGATATACACGCCGAAGGAAGTGGTACCGCGACGCCGAACTCGTCGAACTCCAACAAGAAAACAACGAGACTTCTGAAGAAAACGTCTCAGCCTTAACCCAGGCCCTAGAAAAGGAAAAGGAAAAAGGAACCAACAAAGAGAAAGACTCCGAACAAGAACCCACCCCCAGCACCAGTGCCGGCCTTTCCAACTCCACACCTCTCAAATCCCGCCGCCGACGCTGGTTCAGCAGCGGCAGTAAGGAAAAGGATCGCGCCAGCATTGGTGGCGCCGGCGGCGACGCTGGCGGAACCTCCGCTGCTGATGTCGGTCGATCTACCAGCTCGAATCCGAATGCGAATTCGAATGCGGCGCCTTCAGCGGACGGCCCTTCTTCGGACGGTAGTGCACGTGCCACACCCCCACGCCCGATCAGCACCAATTCTCGCAAACCGTCGCATCATAGTGGGCGCGAGGGAAGTGCTATGACGAGCGATAGCGCTAGTACTCGCGAAAAAGAGATTGCTAGTTCGCAGGATCGACTTGATCGCTGGGGGATGCGTGCTGCTGGTGGTACGGAGAGGGCGGAGCGGGAGTTTGGATTGAGTGATGAGGTGAATATGGGATTGAGTTGAGTTGAGTTAGACTGCTTTTGCTCGTACCCATATCATTCTTCTTGGTGTCCATGCATCCGAGTCATTTTTGTCTTTGCTTTTTTCTCTCTCTGTGTGTGTTGGTCGCTTTATGGGGGTTTCTTGGGGGTTGGAGTGGTTTCGGTTTGAAGGGTTATGGGTTTTACGTGAACGATTTTAAATACCCTATTGAAGTTCATGATGCAGATGTTGTCACATTGCTCGTTGCTCTATATATTACAATTCTATGCCGTACAATTCACATAAACATCATATCGTAGCAGAGGGAGAGGGGTGTGGTGGATGCAGTGTAGGAGGACTTTTGGAGAGAAGAAAGACGAAAAGGGAAAAGGGAAAAGGAAGAGAGCACTCGCAGAGGAGGACACAGTAGGTAGAGAAACGCCGCTTCAAGCAAGTGTCAAATCCCACTGCAACTCCTCCAAAATATCAAACCAATGCACATTCTCCATCTTCTTGCCAGTCGAATTTCGAGTATAGGCATCCCTTCTCGACCACAGAATCCTAAGTACCTCTTTCGCACGCTGAGTATTCCCAATTCCGAAATTACTCTGCAATTTAGCCAGTGAATTGACGACGAGATCTCTGTGCACCAAGACCTCGCTCTCACAGCCTGAGATGAATAGCGGGAATGTGAGTGCCGAGTACTCGCAGTGGTCGTCCAGGTGAAGTGATTCAATGCGCGAGAGACATCTGTCAATGGCGATGGCTTTGGGTATGGAAATTAATGAAGTTAATTCGATTTCGGTTTCCGCGAGGGAGGGGGTATCGGCGGTTGTTCGTGGTTGGGGTTGGGGTTGGGGTTGGGTTTGCATTCGTTCGAGGATGGAGTGGAGGTATATGAATCCTGCGTCGCGGAAACATTCTGCGACGAGTTGGAGGCGGCTTAGGGTTTCGGTTGTTAGGCCTTGCGGGATGATATAGCGGGTGTTGGTATGGGACCATGTGAGGAGGGAGTCGTTTCTGGAAGGGTAAAGGTGAGTCAGCTAATGCAGTTCTTTAATTTAGAGAATTGTGTTCAAGTTCCCTTGAAGGAAGAGCGAAACGCACATGGAGGCTATTGCGAGACGGAGAGAAATAGTATCGTTTTGTAAAGTGGGAAGTTCAACGATGCTTGCGCAGAGATTCAAGATCTGCTCGGTGTACCCGATGTATATGTCTAATCTGGGCGGGCCCAGGTCTGTATGTGTGGCAAAGTCCTCGCTAGGAGTGATGCGTTTGCGATTGCTAATTCGAGCCATGTTATAGGCGTAAACATATCTGCGTAATTGTTAGTTAAATTGTGGCCTTGAGACCAGCCTCGAATTATATGACTTACAAGCCTCGAAGAAATTCCGCTGCATCCCTGTCCATGGCTACCAATCCCCCCACGGGAAGCAATTAACCGCTGTAAAGCATTCAGGTGAACCACCCATTGCTTCACACTTCCACGAACAACTTCATACTTGCACAGTAGCCCCACTGCCAACATGGTATCATCGGAGAGACCATTCGTGGCGCTATCGGCGATTGCTGTCCGAATACCGCTGAGGGCTCGGCCGTAGAAACCTGCCGCAGCAGTTTGTGCGCTGAAGCCCGCCGAGCGGTTTGCAAGGTGAAGAGCAGAGAGCGCGCAAACAGCCTTCATTAGAAGAGGCGATGAAATTGCGCGAGGAATTAGTAGGGACCGTAGTGGGTTGTCGTCACTTTCGAGGTTGGCGAGAAGTCGGGATCCGAATTCCACGTGATATTGTAGGTAATGAGTCTCGTGGTCGCCCAAGTGGCTGATAAAGCTGTGTTGCCGCGGAATCATTGTCAGAATATCACTTTGGCCGGATGATAGAGGTGTCGTGTGTTCATCGATGTAGTCTCCGTGGTCTGGGCGTTCCTCCAAATCGATGATTCGTCCTCGTGGTGAACACGGTTGAGATGGACTCGGGGAGAGCGAGATTGTAGTAGGCGAAGGTTGCATGTACATCCATGAATCTGAAGAGGGCGATGGTGCCGGGGACATGAGCTGAGATGGCGTGGAAACACTCAGCCGTCGTCGTTTTTGTTCTTCTGCTTGGTTGAAGACTTGCGCTGACGGGCCCAACGGTTGCACCCAGAGATCTCCATAGCCTTCGCAGGTTCGACCTTGCTTGAGGCAGTTGTTACAGCTACCCAATGATCAGCCATGTTTCATATATATATTATTGATCAATTTTGCAAAAACAATCCCTACCTCGGCTTGGCTTTGTCGCAACCTTTGCGGCGCTTTTTGCAGGTGATGCATCCCGAGCGAGTCCATGGAGTACCAGATTGACGGTTTCGGATCTTTTTCACGGGGGTGGCCCCGGTGATATCCGGAGAACGTGCCCAACCGGTATCAGCGTAGGTTGGCATGGTGTATGGGGAGTGAAGGAAGGTCACATCGCGAACTGTTCCCCGCGAACTGATAGCCACGGTATATCCGCCATACCCGATCGGGGCAAAATTGCGCCAGCACGTGACTCTTATCGGGCTGTCAGGGACCGCCCTGGGGAATCAACATGCATGAACACATGCACATACGTATTGTGTGAAATATTGATATGTGTTAATCCTAGGATAGAAGGTACTGTCGAGGGTAAGCACAGATGATGATAAACTCTGCTAGTACATGTCATATGTAACAATATATATACTAACTAAGGTAGTACATACTCGTGCATAGATCGCACCAAAGCACGTACCTGGGAAGCCCCCGCGATCCACCCGCCGCCCTTTGGGGAGTACTGTTATTTGAACCACCATTTTTACTAATTGGACTACATTCTACCTACTTGGACTATCTTAGTCTTCCGATTTTGAATAGCAGACTAGTAGCTACCTAAATTGGAATATATTGGCATATTTATTTTATCTGAGGTAGCTACTAGTAGTCTACCATTCAAGGGCTGTCAAGGATAGTGGGCAATAAAGGGCTGCAAAATTGTTGTGCTACTGTATATTGAATTTGTGTAGTAAATACTAAATACATCCTACTCTGAATACAGAACAGAAGGACCATGGTCCGATTAGCAAAAAGGGTGGTTCAAGTAGCAGCCCTCCTTTGGGGAAGCACGCTAGTCCTTAAGGGGTAAGTACATCCCAGTTGTTGCCGATAAGAAAAAGATACGCGATCCTTAAATTGCCCTGGCCCTTCCCTTCCCCTCTCCAGAAATTCCCCTCTCAGCTTCCCCGGATTCTCTCCATTTTGACATCCCCTCCCCTCCCCTCCAATTCCTCCCTCCCACACACTCCCCCCATCGGGTCATCTCATACGCAAATATGGTGACTCAAGCCCGCCATCCCTTCGACCCTATCTCCCCGGAGGAGATCAAGCTCGCCGTCCGTATTCTCGAGGCGGCCTTTCCCGGAGTAGAACTGCGTTATAAGCGGATTGATCTGAATGAGCCTATTAAGAATGATGTCCTACCATACATCGAGGCCGAGCGCCTACGACGACCTCTCCCCTCTCCACCGGCCCGTCTCCTCTACACCCTCTTTCACCGTCTCGACACCGGCGCATTCTATAAGGCTGTCTTGAATGCCGATAAGCGGACCATTGTATATGCCAAGGAACTTCCACGCGAGGTACAGGTATGTATCATCACTTTTCCCCAGCCATTGCTTTGCGGTCAAACCCCTTTGTCTAACAAGCTTGTTTTATAGGGCCCCATTGACCCCGACGAAATTACGGAGATCGAAGAGCTTTGCATGAGACACCCCGCGGTTCTCGCCGAAATTGAGAAACTACAATTGCCCGCCGGGGTGGCAGTTTGCAACGATCCCTGGATGTATGGAACAGATAATGAGACCGAGTCACGGCGGCTCTTCCAATGCTTCATGTACCTGGTCGAGGTGGATCACCCTCAGAATAACCATTATTCCCTGCCGTGCAAGTTCTCACCGGTGTTTGACGGTCTCACTCACGAATTGGTCCGAATGGACTATCTCCCTGGTGGCCCGGATTCTGAAACTACTCAAACACAGCCCTGGAAGCCTGTCAAGGCTATCCAATACACCCACGATCTGTTGGATGAACCTGTCAGAACGGACTTGAAGCCGTACATTGTTCAGCAGCCAGAGGGACCCTCATACACAGCAGATGGAAACTCTATCTATTGGCAGAAGTGGCGCTTTCGTCTTGGTTTTAATATTCGAGAGGGCCTCGTCCTCTATAACATTACATATGATAACCGCAATGTCTTCTACCGTCTTGCTGTTTCAGAGATGACGGTGCCATATGGAGGTAAGTCACCACTTTGCCGATCTTTTTGTGTCTCTTAACTAATTTTTCCAAGATCCTCGTGCTCCATACCACCGAAAGCAGGCATTTGATGTTGGTGACACAGGCTTTGGCATGAACGCTAATCAGTTGTCTCTCGGATGTGATTGCCTGGGCCACATCAAATATTTTGATGGCTACCGAAATGACTGCAAAGGAAACCCCGTTCAATTAAAGAACGTGATTTGCATGCACGAACAAGATAATGGCCTACAGCACAAGCACACCAACTATCGGACCGGTGCTGCCACCGTCGTGCGTAACCGTCAATTGGTTCTCCAAATGATCTGCACCGTTGCGAATTATGAATACATTTTCGCATATATCTTCGACCAGGCAGGAAACGTTGAACTTGAGGTCCGCGCCACCGGAATTCTATCAACTGTTCCATTTGACAATGAGAATGGCCAGACTGTCCCCCTGGGGCACAAATGTGGGCCCCGGCGTGATGGCTCCCTTCCATCAGCACATGTTCTCATTCCGCATCGACCCTGCCATTGATGGTTTTAAAAATACTGTTTATTATGAAGATAGCGTGCCTATGCCTGAAGACGACAGCAACCCATGGCTTGTTGGCTACACTACTGAGTCTACAGTTATGAACAAGGCTAGTACGGCAAACACGAGTGTTGACCGTAACCGCGTGTTCAAGATCCGCAACGATACAATTAATAACCCCATCACATATAAACCAGTGGCCTACAAGCTCCAGACTGCGCCAAGCCAGATGCTTCTTGTGAACAAGAACGCCCTCGGTTACCGCCGAGCTGAGTTCGCTACCAAGCCTATCTGGGTAACCAAATATCAAGACGACGAACTCTACGCCGCTGGCGAGTTCACGAACCAAAGCCGTCGTGCCGAGGGTGTCGAAACTTGGGTACAACGCAAGGATAACACCGAGAATGAGGATGTTGTTCTCTGGCACAGTAAGTTTCCTTTAAAAAGTCTTTTTCATCTCTGCTATAACACTCACTAACTCCTATCTAGCCTTCGGCCTAACTCACAACCCCCGCATCGAAGACTTCCCCGTCATGCCGATGGAGCGTGTCAGTGTTATGCTGAAACCTGATGGGTTCTTCACCAAGAATCCGGCTTTGGATGTCCCTCAATCTACTCAAACCTTCAACAAGTCCACACTCCACCCGGAGACCAGCGGTGCCTGCTGCTCTCCCTCTGCCAGATCTGGATCTGGTAAGGCGAAGCTGTATAAACGCATTGACTGAGAGATATGCTGCTTTTGATACCCTTTCTTTCTTATTTTCGGGCTTGGTAGCCTACATTTTGGATTTTAGATATGACATTATGAACTTGCACAGTTGAATGAATCTGATGTCCAGGCTTTGAGGCCTAGACAAATTTAGATAGATCTTCCCTACTACCATTGCTCTTCTTATCGTAGGCAACCACATGTTGTAGTTCAAAAACTTATCGCTCAACATTATTAAACCTGGGGGTTTCCCTTATACTAATATCACATTCCAGGACCTGGCTGTTTTAAACACCATGATGTCGGTTTTCATGAGCCGAAGAGACGTCGACATCAACCGTCCTTGTAACTCCAATACCACCAAAGGACTCGCTTCGTAAATTGTCATGATGCCCGTTGTCTACATTGACAGTCGTTTCAATCCTTGGATTACCTTGTGCGTTGAACATGAGCACATCCTCGTCAGACTCCCTCTCAAGAACACTCATTTGCTTCGTGCTTCGTTGCGTCTTGCTTTGGTTTCGTAGCGTGTCCATCTTATAATCGGAAGGGCTCGTCGTTGCTTTATTGCTCGAGTATTCGCGGAGGACTTTCTTCAAAAGGGCCGAAAGGGCAGGGAGACAGGTGCAGATTACTCCGATAGAGATTTCGGCATTTCTGTGGAAGATGGGAGAGTCAGTGGGGTTTCAATTATGCGCCCTGGATGGGGGTGCACTCCAGGGCTGGGATAACTTTCGACATACCCAAGCATATTGACCCTCATAAAGGCCAATGTGGTATCTTTCGATTTGGCGGTAACAACAATCAGAGCCAAACGGATGATACTGGATGCGACAGCCAATCCACCCGCACCAAGGATAGCAATGACTCTCATCTTCTTCTTGGTCGACATTTGAAGACTTAGAGTCAAGGGCAATGGCAGTAATAGAACAATCAGATCACTAGTAACACTGATGACAGCATCAGCCATGATGATGGCGTTTTCGTCCATGCAACTGCCCTCGATATTGGGGTCCCAGAATTTGGATATTGGGTTGCAGAGTCGGATTTTGACGATAACTGCCGGAATGTAGTAGGCAAGCATGATTCCCATGAAGGCGTAAATGAAAATGACGGCTTTGCGGAAAGGACTGAATACGCGGGTCATGATCCAAAGAAGACAGAATTTCGTGATGTATGCTGTTGGTCCGTACATGACCAATGTCACGTAAACGGTCTGTGATATTAGTTACCGTAGCACCTTCTGAATTTTGTCCCAACTCACTTTTGAAAAAGGAATGAGGTCTTCATCAGGTACGTCTGTGAGGTGAAGTCCTCCTCCATAATGTCCCACTAAAAGACTGTCAGTGAGAAAACTCATATGATATACTCATGATATAACACATACTGAGGATGGCAGTTATTGAATAGCAGACACCGAGAAACTTCGAGAGCATTAGTGAATATCCTGGAACTAGAGGGCAAAATTATCCATACCCATGCCGCCGTACAGGCCCCTTTGAAACAGGTTAGCTATCGTTTGACTATAGTGAAGGGAAGTACACTTACAGTCCTCCTTTCCAAATCCATTCAGAATGAACTGACGAGTATAAACTCGAAGACCAAAGAAAATGGTCATCGTAATGATACATAGTGACTGGCAAGCATAATTCCACTTCTGCACACTGCGTTCGATATCGACATCGCCGGAGTCTCGTGCCAACAACGCCATGATAGACGGCATCATGTCAACACCATAAGTATATGCTCACAAGGCCAAAGTCACAGGACTCGAGTCGGTCCTTTTTGGGGTCCTCTCTGGATATTATACTCGAAAGAGTACTTGGCACAGCATTCCCCCTGCTCAAGACGCATACCGGGAACATCTTACGACAATTAGGTTCATAATTTCTGTATTGACAGTATCCACTTCGGATTGACGGCGAACCGGTGGACTGGAAAGGTCCGATCGGCTTTTTCGAAACACTTCTTGCAAGAATGTGCCCCACGAGGGAAATTGGCAGATACCCACTATAGACAAGATGGACATGTGCGCATGGAGAAGTAAGCAGAAGTGGGTAGGCACGAGTATCTTTCACTATTCTATTTTAGTGCATTGTATGGAGTAGTTGCCTACTTTGGGACAGAGGACATGTCCGGAGTAACATACTTGCTAGGTTCAAATAATTACAATACTCCAAAGTTACCTATCTATACTATCGAAACCTGTTTCCCTCGGATATCGTAGGGTGCGGTAACGGATTCAAAAGGCTTAACCTTGGAAGCATTTCCGATATGCGTTTTGTAAAGTCTACTAGTATCAAAATAGGACTAGCGATGAGTTTTGCCGAGGAAAAACCAAATGACATGCTTTATCAAGATGGTTTCTACGATACTTTTTTGATATCAATTGATCCTTCGATCTCGGAACAGATAGGGCTTATGAACGGTATGGGGTCGAAACCAACTTGATTACGGGGTACTATATGTGCAGGTCCATTTGAGGTTCGGACGTACACCGAGCAACTGACTCGGACACTGGTAGTATAAACTACGAGTGGTTACTAGTAGCAACTTCAATTTCAACTCTCTCCCGCTGCTCATGTATTGCCCACGGATTTGGAGGCACTTGGGCACATCATTTGGAGAAGGGAGTCTCGCATTGTAATTATGTACCACCCTTACGTACTTCTGAGTCTGGAATTTGGTCGCGACGCGAAGGATTTCGATGCTTTTGGTGGGCCCACACTATAACACGGGAGAGGCGGAAAGTGGAGCTTAACGTTAGGATCTCCACCAGTCGCCTGCCCGGGGCAGGGGTTCTTGAGGGTGACGATATGCAGGCTAACGGATTAGATAGCCTTGGGGGTGGATCGAGGCGGCCAGACCAGAGTGCGGTGGAAACTCTTAGTAAATATTAGCAAATTGGGAACGACGATGGAGAAGTCAAAAATACGAGGAGAAAGGTTCCACACAACTCCCACTGGTGACTTGAATCGCTCAGGGACTTAAACCCGATAATCCTTCTTCTAAGACGATCCCGGCAGAGGATGAGAACTGCAGAAAAGCGTTGATCGGAAAAACGGCATCATATGATACGCGTAGCCCGTTCTCCAACGCTGCTCATTTCCTGCTACGCTGCTTCGTCCGTTATTCTCATTTTTGTGCTCTTCCTTAAAACATGTATATTCCGGGTCTCTCGGCCCGCCAGTCTGGGGAATGGGTCACTTAGTAGATGTGGATCTTCGTCGAGGTAGGATATTAGAGGCGAAAAGCAGCGGGAACTCCCTGCTGGACCCGAAAGTCACATCTACATATGGAGTACGGAGTACGGGTCGTGGCTCGTTTTCGTTTCAAGAAAAACTCACAATTCGTACCATTCTCCGTACTGATCTTCGAAAGTGGCGATAATCAACACATTCGTTCGGCTATTGGATCTGCGATCGTCGCTTTCAAGTTCTTGTCGGCCGATTCAAGGAACCTGATTCAGTACATTCAATTAAGTTATTGATGTCAAACCTTGAGAGTAATTAATTTTTCGGTACTTGCATTGAGTTTCATTGACGGTCCCGCTCTCGGTGAAAGAAAAAAGCCACCGATGCCAACTATCTTATTTCATATCTAGAAGATGGCCATCATGTTGGGAGGAGAGGATACACCACCCGGCATATTCAATGGCACGGACGCCACGAAAAAGCTCCACCGCTGCAGCTCCTCACAAGTTCGCGATAACACTTCTAGATCGAATAGTTCACCTGTTATTCTGCTTTAGTACATTTTCCTTACTCCGGGGTGGATATCGCATTCGTGCTTACCGATCGGCATGCCCCATCCGGCGAGTACATACTCATGCAGGAAGATATCAGGGGATTGAGGAGGGTAAACCTATGACGTGTGTTAAAGAATAATCCCCTTGTGGCCAAATATTCGGCCAAATATTCGGCTTTTCAGATGGTTCAAAAATGTCAAGGGATCTGTCGTCTTACCTCCCAACTAATGGCATCACTAGCAATCGCGGCGAATCCGCTGTCCCACAACCACCGAAGCACATCAGTTGTCGCTTCCATGCCAGCGTGTTCAGGACTGGAATTGTCAGAGTAGGCCTTCTTTTGGGCATCCGTCATTACGGTGTCCCATTCTTTCGTGACTCCAACGCGAACAAAGAGGATATCACCCTTTTGGAAGGTGATATTGCTTTCCTTGGCGATTTCGTGAATATCCGACAAGCGCACCTGGTGCGTCGAAAAAGTGGAATATTCAATCCCCTTTTCCTCAGCCCATGTGGCATAGTCGATCAATACTCCACGTCCTATCACGCGATAACCGTTAGTTAGTCCCTGGGGCCCGGGGAGTCCGAAGGATTGAGACAAGCACAAGGAAAAATATCAAGACTGACCGGCAATTCCTTCCCGCGCCCAATGTTGAAGTCCGATGCGATCATTTCCACGGTCGTTAATTTCTTCAGCTGTTGTTCCGCCGTAGAAAACACGTTCGGATTGACCCGGGACTGTTTGAGAAAAGTGGCGCAGCCCATCCCACTGGCTACTTTGTTCTATGTGGCTGGTTAACTTCCATGTAGGCTATGCGAGTAAAAGCCCAGACTCAGTTTATAGTTGTAACTTACGAGGATTCATCGTATAAATATCATCAAATGCTACACCTCCAAGGAGGGGTACAATTTGATGCTGGCATGACTGCCGGTTGAGATTAGGATAGTCCAATTTGGTCAACTCCCATCCCATAGTGACACGACGACCAGTCTTGATCTCATTCGCAGCCGCCTTAGCTACCACTTCAGGGGTCAGAATAGCCAGTTTACCTAGGCCCTCCTCGTAGCTGCCAGGCTTTCCCGCCCAAACCTGCTTGGGGTTGGGAAGCTCATCAAAGGGGATATCAAAGGGAGATTGAGACATGGCTCTATTTCGATATTCCTCGTATTTGACCAAATAGTGTCAAGGAGGGGTATGATTCAACTTCAATATATCAGTAGCTGGCTAAATAGTGGCATTTCCGCGGAGGATAACCGAGTCAATCTTGTGTGAAAGTTTCGGGAGTAGTTCGGGGTGGAGTAATTACCCCTCGTGGGTATTCCACACATGCTGCCATCCCAGGGCGTCAGTCGTGCGATTTCAAGTACTTTTTTTTTCATCCTTTTTGCCGAACTCGAACCATCCCGATGCTGCACTGCAGTTTGACCCCGCATAATGAATGGGGCATGCCAATAGTATCCGTTTGTTGGGATTCTGCCGTGATGTTGATCTGCATCTGGCCTGGATGGCCCATCTTCGTACGAGTAAGTTCGAGGGCTTGTTCTCGCCATTACGAGTAATACGCTTTGTACAATGGGCCCACGCCTGTGACAGCCTTAGCCGCTGTAGTGAATGATCGGCAAGTGAGTTGTTTCTGCTCACGGTCGAACTTTAATAAAAACTTGCATCCACAGGCTGGTGGGTCAGGTCCACCAAGCTGTCAACGAGTTACTTCTCTGTCTGTTGCCCCCTTTGCTGGTCGCAAGGAGGAAGAAGTTGTTTTGCTCGCTCTTTTTTCCCGCGAACTTAGGCCTGCGTAGTCACGAACCTATGTTGGCATCCTCTTTGACCATCTAAACAGCACTCTCCCCCTTGGGCTAGACTCCGAATCGCTTCATCATGGCTCGGTTCGGGTCGCAGACCAGTACCTATAATAGGCTGGTGACTATCTTTGTTGCCATTGGGTCTATGGTGAGCTATTGTCACTGGAATATACGCGCCAGCTAGAAGTCTAATATATTACATACAGACCTACGGTTATTGTGCTTCTATCATCTCCAGTACGATCGGTCAGCCAGGATGGTATACCTATTTCAACCTTCCTGCTGAAGGCAAGCCTGGATATGACACGATCACGACTCCCGTCATCTCTACTGCAAATGGTGTTTTCAGCGCTGGTGGTGCTGTCGGCACACTGTTCATTATGTGGTCCTGTGATTTCTTCGGTCGCAAAGCGAACATTCAGTTTGGTGCCTTTTTCTCGATGTTCGGAGGCGCACTGCAGGGTGGTGCCAACTCAATTGAGTATGAAAAATACCCAAGCCTCTACAATGCAGCCACATACTAACATCAAAAAGAATGTTCCAAGCAGGTCGCTTTATCTGCGGTCTTGGAATCGGTATTCTAGTCACTGTCTGCCCTATGTACCTCTCGGAGATGTCGAGCGCCCAGCGTCGCGGTTGGCTAGTCGGTCACCATGCCATCTTCCTTGTTTTCGGATACATGCTTGCTGGCTGGGTTGGGTTCGCGTGCTACTACGCGGAGAGCACCATTCCTGCCTTCGGTTGGAGATTCCCTCTGGCTCTGCAGTGTCTGCCGGCGTTGGTTCTACTTATCGGTTCTCCTTGGCTGCCGCGCTCCCCTCGTTGGTTGATTTCGAAGGGCAAATTTGACGAGGCCGAGCTTGTGCTTCAGCGACTTCGTCAAACTCCCGATGATCCCGACAATCTAGTCGCCAAGGAGGAGTTCTATCAGACCAAGGAGCAGATTCAACTTGAGGCAGAGAAGCTGGCGGCCTACGGCAGTGTCTGGAAGGCTGTTGTCAAGAAGCCTTCCTACCGGAAGCGCATGATCATTGGTTTCCTTACTCAGTGGGGTGCCGAATTTGGCGGCCCTCTCATCATCGTGAGTCCAGAAATTTCTGGTTATCTTTACCGTACATCCTGCTGATACAAACAGAACAACTATGCCGTTCTTCTGTACACCAATCTCGGCATGGAAGGCAGTATGCCTCTGCTGCTAAGTGCTGTTTGGCTGACAACCGCCGGTAAGACTTGATCTAAATCTTTCGATATCATTAGTACTAATCTTGTCATAGGTGTAATTTACAACCCCCTGGGTGCTTGGCTTCACGACAAAGTCAACTCTCGACGTGGTATGTATATGACCGGTTTCGCTGGTATCATTGTTAGCACATCTTGCCTTGCTGCTATGACAGCACAGTATGCTGGCACGACCAACAAGGTTGGAAACGGTTTCGGTATCTTCTTTATCTACCTCTATCTGGCCTTCCAAGGGTGAGTCTCAACTTTCCACACTGCGTTCCATATTTTCGATATGCTAATCCCTTCAAAGTACATGCTGTGACACTACCATGTATCTCTACGTTTCCGAGATCTTCCCTACCGAAATCCGCCCCATCGGCATGGGTTTCTCGTTGTTCGGCCAGTTTGCCGGTAAGTCCATCATTCATTCCAGGAACGAACGGCATTTACTAAAATATTGAAGCTACACTCATTCTTTTGGAAACGGCACCTATGGGTTTCGCCAATGTTGGCTGGAAATACTATCTGGTCATCATTTGCTGGTCTGCTTTCTTCATTCCCGGTACGTTCACGACATTCAACCCATTGGATTTTACCATGGACTAATCATGCTGACTATTTTGATAGTGATCTACTTCTTCTGGCCCGAGACTGCCCGCCTTACCCTCGAGGAAATCGCCCAGAACTTCGGCGAAGAAGTTGCCGTGAAGATCACCGATGCGACCGACGAAGAAAAGGCTAAGATCGATCGCCAAATTGCCCATCCCGATGGTGTTCTTCCTCCCTCCGAGAGCTCCGGCTCTGCAAAGGATGTCGAGAAAGAGGGTGTCGTTACCGGTCAGAACGATGCTCAAGCTTAATCCCAGTTGATTCAGCCGAACGCTTTCCTGGGTAACAGCCCCTTGAAAAGGCACTTACAATAAAATATCATAATATGGTGGAATTGGATCGACGCGGTCTCAAGTTGGATTCTTGAACCACTTGGTACCTCACGACAATCCTTGGTGGGTTGTTTTAATGACTTTAGATAGCTGAAATATGCCTAGCAATATACAGTTCCTTTTTAATATCTGACCTTCTCCTTGTGTGGATTTTTCTTCGCCATTCGTAAGGGTCAACCATCAAAATGTCGACTACAATAAACAGTTGTTTGACAACATTAGGGGGAAAGTCAAATTGGACATGTTTGACGCTGATAAATTTGGGAAAGTGCAATCTAGTTTGAGAAGAAAGCGACGTCGTGATGATACCACAAATATAGGTTAGGGCCTTGGTTGAATGTTAAACTCCAGGATGCATTCATTGTCGTGTTAATCGCATGCTTTGATGCTTGCCCAAGCCCATCAGGAAGCTGGTTCGAATAGTCTCAGGCCATCTAGTCCTATGCAATAACCTAAGGATCAATCAGAGCTGGTCATCATCCACTTGACGAGGTACTTCTCCCGAATATAACCAAGTAGTAGGCTATATCCACAGAGTCTGTGCTCAAATATGCGAATGTCACTTACGCGCTATCATCAGGAAGAACGCAGGCAGGGTTACTCGCTTGACTGAGCTTCGTCAAAAGCTGTTCTCACAAATTAGCAACTAGCACTCTCCCCAGGGGTATCTTTCCATTCAATATAGGCGTACCGGGTCACAACAAGCTGCTTTTCGCCCATCTTGACAAGAGCTATAGGTTGTCTTTCCACTCTTGGCTTCATCCACTTTATTGGCTCTGATGCCTTCAATTCGAACCCATTAGCAGCTATCCCTTTCTTTTCGCAGATGAAATCCCAATCTTGGCTATAGCTTCTCAGGGAAGACATACAAGTTTTCCCAGTATATAAGAAGCCCAGTAGTGCGTTCTGGTCTAATTTTTCGCAGCATACGCCAGGGGGACCCGCAGGAATGGGATTGACGGGCTTGATGCAGGAGAATTCGGCGCTCGCGACGGCCATGAGGGCGAGTAATGTGACGATCTTCATATTCGCGCGTTTTCTCTGAAGCTATTGCTTTGGTTTTCGCTGGGCATCTTGAAGAAAATGGCTTGGCTGCAGAATCTGTAAGGTGTTGAGGGGCGGCTGGCGATCTTCAGTTTTCCACATCGAGAATAACCAGACCCACTCAGCCAGGGGCGATCTCGATCGAACATTGCCTACGTCATTGTTGATGGCAGAGTTTACACGGCGATAATCCTGAGGGAATTTTCAGAAATTTAGAATATCAGGTCGATGCAAAGCTATAAGCTCATATAGTGCAATCCCGAAATACCTAAAATATAAGAACCGAACTACCTAGGTAAGATCTCACGGTGATTGATTACTTGGTCAGGACGAGTTCAGGACATAGAGAACACACTAAGTGCATGATGGTCACAGCCTGAATCCACATCCATATCCCCGTCTGTAGTAGTTCATCCCCCATCTGTTGTGACTTTTACTTCCCGATATATTCGCTTCGGTTCATAATCGTATCCGATATGTCATAAAAATATATTCGCAGCCCGTGGGCTGAGGATTACCACGTCACGGAGACGTTCATCAACACTGTATTCATGCAACTTGATCTTTGCAGATCAATTTGGGATCTTAGAGACCAGCCGATGAGTCTGGACGAAAAAATTTACAAGTCCTTCTTGACGACGTGGGCACTGGGAATGGTGCCGTTGGCACGGTTGATAGCAGCTTGGAGAGCACCAGTGAGACCGAACTGGGACTGGATTCCCTCGACACGGTGAGTAGAGTTGATGTTCTTGACGAGAGTGAGCTGCCAGCAGGTGGCACCACCCTGGCGAGAGGTGATAGTCGAGGCGGCAAGGAAGTACTCCCAGATCTAGGTATTCGTCAGCAAATTACATTGAAAAGTATCATGCGTAGAGGCGAGGACACTCGTGGAAACTTACACGGAACCATCTCTTGCCGTACTTCTCCTCAACCTTGTCCTTGTTGCCCATCCAGTTTCGGTACCAGCGCCAGAGGGTAGCAGAGTAGTGAACACCGATAGTGTCAACCCCCTTGATCTCGAAGCCGGCACCCTCAAGGCGGTCGACGACAAAGCCAAGAGGGGTACTAGCATCGGCACCAGGGAAGATGTATTTGTTCATGAACAGACCCCAGATAAGATCCTCATATTGCCAAGACTTGCGGAGACCAGCGATCTGCAGGAAGAACACACCATCATCATCAAGCATATCATATACCTGGGACAGGAAAGTGCTGAAGTGACGAACACCAACGTGCTCGGCCATCTCAAGACAAGTGATCTTTTGGTAGCCACCCTCGACACAAGGGGAATCACGGTAGTCCGAGCACAGAATTCGGCTTTGGTCTTCTTCAATACCCGCAACGCGGAGACCCTTGTTACCCCAGGCAGTCTGGTTGCGGCCGAGAGTGACACCAGTGACGTGAGCGCCGTAGTGGACCGAGGCGTACTTAGCAAGAGTACCCCAGCCACAGCCAAGGTCAAGGATCTTGTCACCGGGCTGAACACCAATCTTCTCGCAAACAACGGCCAGCTTGTTGTCCTGCAGTTCTTCAAGAGTCTCCTCCTTGTTGATGTCACCAATGATACCGGAGGTATAGATCATACGGGGGCCGAGGAACCAAGCATAGAAGTCATCACCGCGGTCATAGTGGTCACGGACCTGCTCCTCATCTGCAAAGTTACTTAGCAAGGCTTCTTTCAGCAAGACACACATAGGAGGAATAATTCGTACCCTGGGAACGAGTGTGAAGGAGCATCTCAGGGATAAAGCCAAACAGGAAGTGCTTGAAAAGACCCATGGTGAACTTGAAATTGGCCCAGTCGTGGCGGTATTCGAGAGCCTCGAGGGCATCCATCTTAAAATCAACCTCACCATTGAAGTACTTCTCGTAGAAGACCTCCATGGGGATTTTGCTCTTGCCGCGGTATGTAGCACGGTCATGCTCGGAGTGGAATTGCAGGTAGTGTTCGACGGGGCGGCCACAGTACTTGGCCTTCTCAGTCTTGCGGGGAGAGATAGACGACGAGATGCTCCAGAAAGCCATGAGAATGGGAATAGTAGTGAAGAGAGCGAAGAAAATGGTGGTGTAGAAGCCGCCGCTAACCTGGCGGGCCAGGTACCAGGGTGCCACGAAGAGCAGGAAGGCCATCAAGCCATTGGAAAAGCTATCGCTTCCCGGAGAATCGGCCGGGATGGGGGCATTCTTGATAGCCGGATACTGGAAGCGTATAATTCGTGAGCACTCCGTATGACTTGCTGTAGTAACCCCCGAGAGCTTTATAGAGCTAGATTACTTACTAGAGTAGTCGGCACACCGCAGTCAAAGGCAGGTTTGGACTGCACAGCAGCCGCAGGAGTTTGAATGAACTCAAAGTCCGCGGTGGACTCCGGATGAGGGGTCGTCATGGCTGTAAGGTGTCCAATTGAGAAAGGTGTGACGATGAAAAGGAGAGCATGTGTAAATAAATCGTGGCAGTTGGGCAGGCGGTGAGTTTACTTCCGCGGCTTCCCATTTGCGCTAGTCGGAGTATAAATAGCATAATTTAATGTAATTGATTAATCTTACTAACTACTCGTAGACAAGGCAGCAATATAGATGAATACCAGTAAGTTGTTACTCTCGAGTCACTGTGATTTGTATTTTATCGGCACTATTATCTCTTATAACATAAACTCACTTGAATATCCATGGATGTTGTGCCAGCCAACAAGTGGGGCCCAGACCCGAATAAGCCTTACTCGTATATGCTACTCTAATGTGAAATATGCAAAGCAGTCAGACTGGGGGACTGGAAAATATCAAAATTGGAAGTGATTTCTCCCCAGTGAGTCTCAATCCATGCAATATTTATTATTCTGTACCACCACTGTTCATTCACTACTAGCAGTCACATATAGGGTCTAGACTTGCCACACCAGGTCCACCCGCTGGTCGTGGCGAAGTCTAGCCCAGGTACAGGTCTCCGCAAAAGGAGGGTGGCTTTGCCGGCAAACTCTCCATCCAATCAGGCCATATTTTCTGCAGCTTGAGTTTACGTAGGCAAGTTTGACGGTTGGTAGGTTTGGCAGGTGTCATCGTCATAGAAACTCACCTGGGCGGTCAAAAGTACCCCAGATTAAAACTATATCAACTGGATAAGATAGATTCTGATCGATATCACTGATTATCTCTACAATGTATAGCCATAGCGAAAAATCAAAGCCCGAGGTTAGGAGACCCGCCCCTTTATCTACTAGTGAAACGCTGGAAATTACACATACTAACAATCCCACATCAGCCACTGACTAAAAGCGAAAAAGAACATTTTAGCAAATACGGCAAATGGCCGTGTAAGAAATATTGCGCTCCTAATGTACTTGCCGTGTGCCTTCCTTCGAAAAAGGATCAATATAGCTAATCTTGAACAGAGCCTTGGAATTTTTGATCCCAGGGGGTTCTCTCCGAAGAATACGACTGGCCAAGTCACTGAAGGCCACCTCTTAGGCTGTTATGAGACCAATGCTAAGAGTCAATATAAATCGCGTCAGTCGAACTGTCCCATCCAACGTGATGGAACAGCACCTTTGTCGGAAACCCAATCATCCCGTCCGAAAGGAAGAGGAGGAGGAATTAGGCAGCGAGAAAGAAGGCTCCTATTGATGACTTACGCTTAACGAATGTGAACGTTTATGAAAATTCAACGAGGATTCGGACAATCTTGTAACAATTATTTGCTCCGATGTATTTAAGCTATCTTCTTCAAGTTGTATTTTAGTTGAGATTCGCCCCTATATACAAATGGGATGTTAGTGTGGAGGGTGAGATACGAGTACCTCAGACATGCAGATCACCTTCCTCCGTTGCGGCCTTACTCCCTCCTAGTCAACTAGTCATTCGCATATATTAGTGGGCCACTGTCATAACTCTGAGCTTCTATCGGTTCGAAATTTGTGTCTCTTCAAAAAGTTCTCTCAACATGTGGTCCCGTATGGCAGGTTATCTGAGAAAATTCCCTCGAACCCTCAGGAGCGGCGTAGAATCATTTCCAGAGTCTACTTTGATACTACGTGAACCAATTTCGACGTCGGCTGAAAAGCTACGTTTACTTGAGAGGGTGCATTTATGTCGAAATAATAGACATTATTTTATTAGGATTAGTCTCAACTTGTAGGATTATGTCCTTGAATACAAGGTTTGAGATCTAAAGCACGTGGTTGAGACTGCATTGGAGGTTGAGATCCAGGTTGATCAGACCAATCTGGAATATGTTAGCTTTTTGTATCCTTTCTTATCACAAGTCTCACAAATCACATACCTGTTCAATGTCGCTCTGCGAGCAGCAGTAGACCCCGCCAGTGGAGCAGCTCTCGCCCAAAAGACCGTTGAGCAAGTTGCCGAGGGACAGAAGACCACCGTCGCCGTTCTTGTCGCAGACAACACTTTCGTGGCCCTCGCAAACGGTCTTTCCGGAGTCACTGTCGCTGCCATCAGAAGTAGGCATGGCCAGGGCAGTGGCGAAGAGAAGAGAGGCGATGAAGAACTTCATTGTGGCTGGCTTGCTGATGGTAACTATTCCCATAAAGACGTTAGCAAAAAAATAGGTCTTAAAGAGAAGAAATTTCATGAATGTCGCTACCATACCTTTTGGTCGGTGGTGGTGGAAAATAAGAGATGGATATTCAGAGGGGTTAAAGATGTGGAGGTGAATTTGGGAGTATTTATAAATTTCAATGCTGAGCTTTCTCTTACCAAAACGTCAAATTGAAGAAAAAGAAGCATGCAACGGTGTTATACTACCTCGTATACTGCCTGATTACCTATTCGGTAGGCCCATTTAGCTTGTATAAGCATCGGCTCGCTTCCGAAAACGGTTCTTCCACGGCCCGCTGATGATTCATACACGAACTCTAGAAGCCTTTCTTCACGTCAAAGTTTTAATCTGCTCTGAAATAAATATCTCGTGCAACGTCAATATGTAATTGAGAAATATTAGG